ATTTATAGATATGTTTTGAAAGGGATATATTTGAACGAAGATTTTGTTTTGAATTAAATAATTTGAAGAATAAAAATGAAAAAATCGACTGGTAGATCGTAGTCGCAGGTATGAAAAAGATTTGAAGTTCAATGGGCGTCCTTATTAAACTTAGCTCTCAGAGTTCTTTTCTGAGTTTTAGAAAATCCGTGAAAGCATTTCCTTATTATGAATAAATTTTCTTTAATTCATATATCACTATAATAATATTATTTAACTTTCTGTCATGAAAGTAAATTAAAGAATTTTAAAAAGAAAACGAAACAAAAAACAAAAAAGTTCGAAAAGAGTGGTAAATTTTATGCATCCTCTTTTCCTTTTGAAAGATTCAAAAATATAATGCTTCAAACCAAAAAAAAATTTTCAAAAGCCCTTTTCTCAGAAACGTCATATGTCTCATAAATTGATGTTAACTATTTTTTTCCTTTTTGTTCCTATTTTCCTAAAGATGAAGAGACGACAGATAAAGGTTCAATCAAGGAAATGTTCTAAATTTTTTCAAGGCCTCTTTCCAAAGAAACGTCATCTCTCTCTTCCTGATGTTAACTATTAGTTTCATTTTTTTTCTATTTTTAAAGATGAAGAGACGACAGATATGTGTTTCAATCTGTCCTATGTGTGTAAGATTTTCCAAGGCCTCTTTCCTCAGAAACGTCATCTCTCTCTTCCTGATGTTAACTATTAGTATCCTTTTTGTTTCTATTTTCTCTAAAGATGAAGAGACGACAGATATGCGGATCGACTGATGTACACTAAAATTAGCATGTAATCAGCATAAAAGGCATGAGACAGTCCTAAAGAATGGCAAGCAGAAAAACACGAAAGTTATGAAACAGAAAACAACAGTTGATACATAATGCAGAAAGAAGGCTTGTAAAATCTGATATTCACTTAACATTTTTCTTCCTTATTAGTCATAAATCATGGTTCTCCACAACTTCCTGTCCATTGTAGTTCTTAATAAACTTTGCTTTTCTGTTATTTCTCATAGGCCCTGTTCTGCCATCCATTTATTCAAGCTCATTAAATATGTTATGCATTGTTTTCCCCTGTCCTTATTACCCTCTATCTGTCGCGTGAGTATTAGATTTTCCAAGCCGTCCTTCATTTATATAATTTAAAAAACTTTTTCAACTTTTCTCTTCCTGGTGTAAACTATTAGTGTTCTTTTTGTTTCTTTTTTCTCTAAAACTTCGACATTACTCACTGTTCGGTCCACGGTATCCTCAGCATCCTTCTGTAGAATGACATGGTTTTTATATGATGAAATGGTGTATGTATTATTACTGTATTCGACAAGAACGTCTAAAAATAGGATTTTTTTTTTTGACTCAGTTCATAGGTAGAGTTAAGGACAAATGCGGTTCTGGGATCTGGGATAGTGTTGAAACTTGACTAATGCATGGAATAATAATGCAACACAAAATGTACTTAGAACAAAATGTATTGAAACAAGAAAGTGTACACAATATTTACATATAGTCTTTTGTATATTCCTGGTAAGACCGTTCCTGGAGAATGTGTTGACTGAGTCGCAGTCGGACAGAGTCTCTGGTTGAATCTCTTGATTCCTTCCTCTCTTCCCGGTACCAACCATATTTATATGGTCGGTACCCCACTATGCAAATTAGGTGGATCCTACCACAACAGATAGTCAATTAGTCTAAAATAAATATATAGCCCATATTGAGGGCATATATTTTGGGTTTAGTTAGCAAGATGGTTTCCCAGACTAACACTGTTAGTGCGGGTGTAGGTGTTTCTATTATGGTCGTAGAAAGACACTTTGGTAGTGCAGGCAAGCATTATTTTTTGAGACTGTTTTGTTTGACGAATGGAGCGGAATGGAATTATTTGTATATACTGAGTTAAGTATTAGTCGATAGTTTGAACAACGGAGTCGTTTGTAAATAAATTTTCAACGTCGAGTGACGCTAAAATACGTCGTGATGGTTGTATACTATTTCAGAATGGTAAGGAATTCGGTAGTAGATATGGGGTAATGATATCGTTAAGGAATTTTGATAGCTCGTAGATGGGGGTTTGGCATTTGGGAGATCATAGGTCGTAGTGGGTATCTATCTATCTATATATATATATATCTATCTAAATTATAATCTATCATCTATTTTTTTAAGACTTGAATTTTTATGCGTATATTTTTTTTATAGACAACATAAAAAAACAAAAAAAAAAAAATAAATTAAAAAAATCGGGCTTTGTCCATTTCATAATTCAAGATATCTATCTATCTATCTATCTATATATCAAATATCTATATATATATATATATATATATATATATATATATAATCTACATGAATATATACAGATACACATACACATGCAAAATTTATAAACAAAAAGAAATTCCAAATTCCGACATATCATTATAAATGTTGTCTAATACTGTTTATTTTAAATAGAGCATTTATTTAAATATTTTTTGTGTATAAAAAGAATGTATAAACATAAACATGCCTTAAAATAATATTCGATTTTTGTAATTTCATAATATATATATATATATATATATATATATATATATATATATATATATATATATATATATATAGAGAAAAGAATGATAGAAAGAGCATCCCAGAAAAAAGAAAAGGTCTGTCTGGAAAGTTATCATTAACATAAAAACAGGATGTCATTTTTTGACGATGAACATCTCTGACATGATGTCTATATAACCATTTTGATAGGACTCATATTGAGTCAAAATATAGACCGATTCTCCAATATTATAAAGAAATATTAGAAGATCTAGACATAACTTTTTGTTGTTTTTTTTTGAAACGAAATCCATTCAAAAAAAAATTCCATAATAAAAGGCTCAAAATAAAATATAATATTCTTTTTGAGTACAATGGGTTTGCAATATATATATATAAAATATATATATATATATATATATATATATATATATATATATATATATATATATATATATATATATATAAGGAACAGATTTTAAGTACTGATCAAATCTAATCAGACATTTGAGGAAAAAAAATATGGGATCATATTAAACATAAGAACAACAGTATTTTAAAATTTAAAACCTAAAATATAAAAATATTTCGACCGACACATTTTCAAAAACAATCGTCGGTAATCTAAAACAGAGTACTAACAAGAAAAATATATATTTTTATTAATACCGTAATAAAACAAGATGGTAAGTATATAAAAAAAATTGTTTTACCTCAAATCATGTAACCGTTCCCCCAAATAAGGCCAATTAAACTTCATCTATTTGTACGCAACAAATTTTAGATTAAAAACATGTATAATTTTGATAATAACAGACAATAAAAATGTCGATATGGAGTCTGTTCCATAACCCTAAAAATATTGAAAGAAATGGGGAGAATATCAAGTCCTACAAACACCAGAATTTAATAGATGTTCACCGATAGCAGAGGCATGTTGTCATCAAACAAAATAACGAAATATCATTCACCTCATGCCTAACTATAAAGATTTTATGCATATTGACATAATAATATATATATATATATATATATATATATATATATATATACAATGAATGAAAAAAAATATATATATATATATATATATATATATATATATATATATATATATATAATATAAATATATATATATGTGTGTATTGGCGTTGATTATGATGAAAACATGAGCGCTTATTCCTGAAGGATACTTTGTGAGTGAATTAGAAGAACGCATGTTCGATTCCTTCAAAAATATATGTTTTTTAATATCTGAAATTTATATTGATTTTTATTTAAAAAAATTATGAAAAATTAAAATATTTTTTATTTAATTTTTAATATATACTTTATAAATAAATACATTATATCGGTAAATTTCAATATATATATATATATAAATATATATAGTTTTGACATTAAGAAAAAAAACGCATTCTTCAGAATGAAAAGACGTTTTTGTTTTTTCTAGATATTCTAGAAAATTTCTCTGAATTTTTGTTTCAATTGGATTATTTTACCAACTATTAGAATTTTCAATGCTTTTTTAAAAGATTCTTTCAATAATAGCCTATATATATATAAAATTATATTTACAAACCCAATTTAAAATTTATAAAGCTTATTATGAAATAAATTTTTCAGTTTGCCCATATATTGTCATCCAAAGACAGACTGTTTCATTGTATCACAGCATTCTTCAGTGTGGCTAAATATTTTTCTAATTAGCAATATATATATATATATGAATATATATATATATATATATATATATATAATTTAAAATTGTTTTAAACAATAATATTCCAAGGAATATTAGTGTTTAAACATTTTTTATTATATCCTTACTTTGTCCTAGACATTGAGTTCTATTTGGATTCTTCCTCTTGAATTTTTATTTAAAAATATACATGTATGGGTATTTATATATTTATATATATGTATTTAATATTTTTATTAATATTAAATATATATATATATATATATATATATATATATATATATATATATATATATATATATAATAGCAATTATATTTATAATAAACTAGAAAAAAAGAGAGAGAATTAAAATGAAATTATTAAATAAACTTTTTATATTTGAGCTATCCCAAAAGAAACTAAATTCAACGAAAACAGACGTTTTATTTTATAAAAAAACAGTAAAATAAAAGAAAAAATAAAAAAAAAAAGGAGGGACACAATTAATTCTTTAAAATAGGTTTTGAGCCAAATTTTATTTTAAAGATCAAGGCTTATACTATCTTCAGACGATTGGAAGATGAAATAAAAACAACTTTTATGACATCAAAATTAGGGAGATTATTTCAAAAATGTTTCGGGAAATAATTTTAGAATAAAAATTTTTTTAAATCAAATATATATGTAGATTGAAAATGTAATTAAACGTTTAGTTTCGAGTAGGTTTGAATCAATAATATTTATGTATGTATGCATGTAAATATTGGGGTATAAAATTGATATGATTAAATCTATCTATCTATCTCATTCTATCAATGTTCTCGTTCAAAAAAAAATATCTATGGATATAATTTATATATATATATTAAATATATATATATTTATATTATCAAATATAAATATATCAGGTCATCCCATAAGTTCTGTCCAAATTTTAACTTTTTGTTAAAATGAACGAAATTTAAAGAGTATTTTATAATGTCTAATGGAGCTGAACATTATTTTTTATGTTTAGATGCATTTAAACTGATCAAATTTTATTTCAGAGAACAATAAAATTAAATTTTGTTTGATTAAAACCCTGCTAACATGGAAGTACCCAAGAATCATTTGAGGCACATAATGCTTTATGAGTTCAAGAAAGGAAACTCAGCAGCCGAAGTGGCTAGAAACATTCACTCAGTTTATGGAGAGGAATGTGTGAATGAAAGAACTTGCAGAAGATGGTTTGCAAAATTCAGAGGTGGAGATTTAACCCTTGAAGATGAAGATCGAACTGGACGTCCAGTTGAGTTTGATGAAAAGCTTCTTGAAACAGCCGTTGAAGAAAATACTGCTTTATCAGTTGAGGAATTGGCAGTGGTTCTCAGTTCAAAACATACAACTGTTCATCGTGATATTCAACGACTTGGAAAAGTTCCTAAACTTGGAAAATGAGTGCCTCATGAATTGTCTGAAAACAACCTCAAATCCCGAGTTGACATCTGCTCTTCTCTCCATTCTCGCCAACTTGTTTCACTTTTTTGGATAGACTTGTGACTGGCGACGAAAAATGGATCTTTTATCGAAATTTTAAGCGTCGTAGACAGTGGCTTGGTAAAGGGAAGGACCCCAGCCAAATCCGAGAAGGGAACTTCATAGCAAAAAGGTTCTTCTTTCAATCTGGTGGGATCGCCAAGGAATAATCCACTTTGAATTCTTACCATCTAATGCAACAATTAATGCTCAAATATACTGTCAGCAATTAGAGCGTTTGAACCAAGCTTTGAGGGAAAAAAAGACCTGCTCTAGTGAATCGAAAAGTGGTGATGTTTCATCAGGACAATGCGCGCCCCCACACAGCAAGAATCACGTCACAAAAGATCGAATAACTTGGTTGGGAGAAAATTCCTCATCCACCTTATTCTCCCGATCTTGCTCCTTCAGACTACCATTTGCTGCGTAGCTTACAGAATCATTTGGAAGAAACAGCTTTTGTAACACAGGAAGATGTTAAAACTGACATTTGTGAGTTCTTCGAATCAAAACCAAAAGAATTTTACAGTAATGGAATTAGTAAGCTTGTTAATAGATGGAAGGAAGTCATAGATAATCAGGGAAAATACATTGTTGATTGAATCTGTAATTAAATGTAACATTTGGTCACTTGTTTCAAAATTCGGACAGAACTTAGGGGATGACCTGATATATATATATTAATATATATATATATATATATATATATATATATATATATATATATATATATATATATATATATTGCACAGATTTCATTTAAAAAGAATTTTTTCATATATAATATAGAAATTTTTTTTATTTAAACATTTATATATATATATATATATATATATATATATATATATATATATATATTATATATGGAAAATAATCAAATTATATATTTCCCCAAAAAAAAAATTTATCTTTTTCAGAGAGCAATTTAATTTTTTTAAAAAGTATGAAAGGATATTATACCTAACCTTTTATTTTAGTTATGTATTAAAAAAAAATTTTTAATTCTAAAATATTTTGCTTTTTTTTTTCATTAAAATAATTATTATATTACATTATATGCAAAATTTTACATTTATATATATATATATATATATATATATATATATATATATATATATATATATATATTTTAAATTAAAATAAATGTCCAAACATTTTGCGATAAAAAATATTTTTCCAGATATTTTTATTCAAACATATATATTTAATCAGTTTGAATTCTATATTCAAAATTTGGAAGATTTATACATTAAAAATAAAATTAGAGCCATGATGAACGGTGAAGGATGTTTTTATTACAAATTTTCAGCAAAATTTAGTAACAATTTTATATATATATATATATATATATATATATATATATATATATATATATATATATGAATATTTGAAATAAAATTGTAAATTTAAAATTTTTTACAAATAAAAACATTACCATTTCTGTCTACTGGTTTCCTTGAATTTAACGTATTTTTTTAATCGATTTAATTAAAAATAAATTTAAAGATAAAAACCACAATCATCCAATTTTTATTAAAATTGAATTTTTCATTTTTTTTTAGTTATTTTATTTTTATTTTAGTTTTTATAATATTTTTTATTTTTATTTATCTATTTCCTTAAATATAAATAAATTTTTATATACGAAATATAAAGATATGGAATATCGAAGAAGATGTTTGAAAGAAAACGAAAAGAAAACATTGTTGACATTGAATGACATAATATTTTTTATTTATAAAAAAATAGTTAACAGAAAATAAAAGAAATAATATAAAATTAATAAACAAAATGGTTTAAAACAATAAATTTTTAAAAAAAATTTTTGCTCGTTAGATAGATGAGATTAATATAGATCTTTTTTTTTTTAAAAATAAACTTTGGAATTTTTTATAAAAAGACAAAAGCATAAATTTAAAGACAGCAAAAGATAAAAATTTGGGAAAATGAATTTTAAGGGAGAAAACTTTTAATAAATATGGTTTAAAATAAAAACAAAATTATTTCATGTAAATATCGTTAAACTTATGAAATTAAAAATTTTAATTTCATGGAAAATTTATAAAAAAGAAAAGTTTGAGAAAAAAAAAAAAGATTGAAAATCTAAATGAATAAAATTTGAATTTTTTTCATAAAAAAAAAAGAAAATAGCAAAAAAAAAGTTTTTAATTTAAAAAAATTTTGTTGGAAACAAAAAAGACAAAATAAAAAGTTTTTGTTTTTTAAAAGAAAAAAAAAAGGAAAGAAAATTTAAAAAAGAATAAAAAAGAAATGAATCATCTTTTTTCTTTTGAAAAAAAAAAAAATGTTTTTAAAAAACAAAAAAAAAGAAAGAAAAAAAAACAAAAAAAAATAGAAAAAAAAATCAAATTTTAAAAATTTATTTTTTAAAAAATGAAAAAAGAAAAAAAAAAAATCTTTTTCAATGAAAAAATGAAATGAATTTTTAATGAAAAAAATTTAAATAAAAAAATTTTTAAAAGAAAAAAAAATTTCAAAAAAAAAAAAATCCCAAAAAACAAATGAAAAAAAATTTAAAAGAAAAAAAAAGAAAAGAAAAGTAAAAAAAAAAGAAAATTAAATAAAAAAAATCATTAAAAAATGGAAAGAAAAAAAAAAAAAAAAGAAAGAAAGAAGAAAGAAAAAAAAAAAAAAAAACAAAAATTAGAAAAAAATTTTTAAAAAAAAGAAAAATAAGAAAAAAGAAAGAATTGAAAGAAAAAAAAAGAAAGGAAAAAAAGAAAAAAAAGAATTTAAAAAAAAATAATTCAATAAATAAATATGAAAAAAAAAAAAAAAAAAAACAAAAAAAATTTAAAAAAAAAAAAATTTGTTAAAAAAAAAAAACTGAAAGAAAAAAGAAAGAAAATCAAAAGATTAAAAAAAAAAAAATTTTAAAAAAGAAAAAAAAAAGAAAGCGAAAAAAAAGAATGAAATAAAAAAAAAAAAAAAAAAACAAGAAAAGAAAAAAAAAATTTGTAAAAAAAAATGAAAGGAGAAATAAAAAAAGAAAGAAATTTTGAAAAAGTTTTTAAAAAACAAGAAAAGAAATAATGAAAAAAATTTTTTTTTAAAGAAAGAAAAAGAAAAAAAAATCAAAAATTTGAACAATTTTAAATAAAGCTAAAGAAAAAAAAAAATTGAAATGAGAAAAAAAAAAATTAAAAAAAAAAAAGAAAATATTTTTAAATTTGAATAAAGAAAAAGAAAAACCTAAAAAAAAAAAAAAAAAAAAAAAATGAAAAAAATCTAAAAAAAATAAACAAACAAAAATCAGAAAAAAAAAAGAAAAAAAGATTTCTTGAAAATATTTTAAAAATGAAAAATAAAAAAGAAGGAAAAAAAAAGAATGAAAGAAAAAAAAAATAAAATGTAAAAAAAAGAAAAAAAACAAAAAACAATATAAAAAAACAATAAAGAAAAAAAAAAAATAGAAAAAAGAAATAAAGAAAAAAGAAAAAAAATTTAAAAAAAAAAAAAATGTTAATTTGAATTTTTCTTATAAAAAAGAAAAAATGGAAATTCTAAATAAACAAAAAAAAAAAAAAAAAAAACAGTCAAAAGATTTTAAAATGAAATAGAAAGAAATAAAGAATGGAAAAAAGATTTTAAAGATTTGAAAAAGAAAATTTAAAACAGAAACAAAAGTTTGAATATTTTCAAAAGTGTGAATTAAAATAGATTTAGAAAAAAAAATTTCAAACAAAAAAAAAATTAAAAAAAAATCAAATAAAAGAAAAAACAAATTGAAATTTAAAAAAAAAAGAAAAAAAGAAAGAAAGAAAAACAAAGAACCCAAAAAAGAAAAAAGAATTTGAAAAGAAAAAAGAAAGAAAATTAAAATTTTCTAAAAAACAAGAAAAAAATAAAGCAAAATATAAAATAAAAAGAATGAATCCGTAAAGAAAGAAAAAAAAAAGAAAGAAAAAAAAAAAAAAGAAAAAACATTTATCAATACGAATTTATTTTAAAAGAAAAAAAAAGAAAAAAACAAAAAAAGAAAATTTTTGAAAAAATGACAAAAAAAAAGAAAAAGAAAAAAAAATCTAAACATTTTGAATGAAAAAAAGAAAAGAAAGAAAATAAAAGAATAATGAAAAAAAAAAAATTTAAAATTATTAAATTGTTTTATTTTAAAAAAAAAGAAAATTTAAAAGAAAAAAAAAAAAAAATTGAAAAAAAAAAAAAATGAATTTTTCATTTTAAAAATTTAGAAAGAAAAAAAATAAAAAAAAAAAAATGAATGAAAAATGAAAAAAAAAAAAAAAGAAAAGAAAGAAAAAAAAAAAAAAAAAAAAAGAAAAAAAA